TCTTTTATGTCGAAACATGGTGGATTATTTATGGGAAATCGAAGTCATTATGTATGAAACATGGGTCGTTATGGTTTCACGTTAATGCTATGGAAGTATGGAAAATTCCAATGGACCCCCATTTTATTATTGATTTGACGATATGAAAAATAGCTAAGACCATCTTTTACAAGCGCATGATATTTACTTTATTATGTTGAGCATGAGTTTAGGTACTTTACATATTTACAAATTATGTTTGCAAATTATTCTTAAAAAATTATTTCCTTAACCGGAAGGTTAGGTGCCAAAACACGACCCCGCAGCGCTGTCGCAAAATGTAACAATATGTCATAATGTAGTTGATTTTATCACCATCCTTGGGAATCAAAGATAATTCTAAAATAAACTAAAACACTGAGTAGCATCAAAATTGAAATAAATAATTCTAATCAAAATCAAAACAAACTATTTAATTCAATGTTCGAACAGACCCCTTCTTGGGTTCGACAGCAACTTAATCTATTTTAGCAGCCTGTGCAAACACTTTCTGGAGCAACATATTGGTAACGCGGCAGATTGCACGACCTTCTGCGTCACTATTGCTAGGCAATGTGGTGATGATCTTCGCTCTTCAACCGGCTTAAATCTCTTTCTAACATGTATTGATACACACTTCTCGCGCTTCTCTCTCGTACACATTGAACTCAAGCTGTCGTACAAATTTGGTCTTCCCTGTATAGTATATCAGTACGTATAAAGACCTATTATTGTCAGTTATCGTTATCATCGCCAAAATGGAAGCCGCCGGAATCGATGCGAACATGTGCCAACTGATCCAGAGCTATCTAACACAAAGATGGTTCACGGTGAAGATTGGTACATGCCATTCAACAAGACGTCAGCTGGAAGCAGGCGTGCCCCAGGGGTCAGCCTTAGCCCCCCTGCTCTACAACATCTATACTTACGATGTGCCGAAGACAGCTGACACAATGCTGGCCCTATATGCAGACGACACTGCTATAGCCGCCAAGCATAGACGACCCGAGATCATCCGTAGGAGACTACAGGGTGAACTGGACCAAATTCAGGACTGGTGCGTGAAATGGAAAATCCGCATCAACGTCCAGAAGACGAAGGCAATCTTCATTCAACGAAGAAGGATTGCAAGACCTCTCGAAGCATCCATCTTCGATGAAGATATCCAGTGGAGCGACAATGTCAAATATCTGGGGATCGTTTTTGACAAGTCCCTCACCTGGAAAGCGCACATAGAAGCTGTCATCGCAAAAACCAGAGCAGCCATGGCTCAACTCTATCCATTACTGGGTAGACACAGCCAGATGCCGCTAGCGACCAAGCTACGGCTGATCAAGGCCATCGCCAGACCTCAGCTCGCTTACGCCTCCGCGGTCTGGGGGTACGCTGCCCCCAGCTACCGCAAGCGACTTGCTGCTCTAGAGATGAAGCTACTCCGGATCGCCACCAATGCACCTTCCTACGTAAGGAACTCAACCTTGCGTAGAGACCTGCATTGGGATACCATCCACGAGTACATGAGGAAAAAAGCGGAGAAGACCTTCGAGAAAGCTCAGGACCACCCGAACGAGCAGCTACGATTCCTCATGGACTACGATCCGGACGAGAGGCCTCGCAACCGCAGAACCAGGTACCCCAGACCAAGGTCCCAGTTGGCACCCGCTAACTGGAACCTTGACTAGGAGACTAGGAGAATTTGCGGCTGCTCCCCCCCCCCCCACGGCGTGGATGCAGAGGACCAGGAACCACCGGGACCAGGACCCACCGGGACCAGGACCAACCAGGACCCGCCACGACCAGGACCCACCAGGACCAGGACCCTTCAGGACCAGGACCCTTCAGGACCAGGACCCTTCAGGACCAGGACCAGGAACAACATATTGGTAAGATGACTTGAAACTCTTGATTTTTCGAAAACAAGAGTTTCAAGAGAAACTAGCAGACCCTCTATCGATGATCGCTTAACGACATCGATAGAATGTGCGAGGTAAAGGGAACCAACCCGGCGTTCCCAGAGACTGAAACACATGAGGAGACGTTGTAGCAGACCGCAGGTCACGCACAACACATGGCCTACCGAGACGCTGATGAGTCGGGCCACGCGGAGGTTTAGGGTTTAGTGGGTATTAGGTGATCTCTTCAAGACCCTGGAGCCCCACACACGTCGTAGCTCGTGCTATGGTATGGTGCGTAAATGCATTCCCCCCTCGTTAAAAAAAAAAAAAAAAAAAAAAAAAAAAAAAAAAAAAAAAAAAAAAAATATCGTTATCACATATTATTGACAAACAATTTTACGCTAGAGCACCAAAGAATTGGGGCTATCGTGTACGGACACGATCACTGCTGCAATCTTTCGTCAAAAGCCCCAATAGCCACTGATGGTGCAGACAAAACCGATTTTGAATCACTGGAAACTAGAGCTGAAAAATAGATGAATTGCTTAGATTTATATCACAAATTATACGCCTAAGCAATCTCAGAAGTTATACGCCTAAGCAATGAGTCAAAGCCAACTGTGTGATAATGTGACATCTGAAACTTATCCTGTGGTTTACAGGACAATAATCCTCCATGTTTCTCTGGTCAATAAAATGATATGTAACGACAGATCTTTACTGTAGTACTTGCACCACAGATAAATCAAATATATGTCATTGTATTGAAGAAGATCACATTTGTGATTAAATATTACCGTAAAGAAGATATGTCAATATATGTGACTTTATTGGCCAGACTCCAGACAAGCGTGTGGGATTATAGACCATCATGTGCGTGAAAGTATTCGTCTGTCGCAGATATTCTGTGGTGAAAATCGGTTGACAAGATCGGGAATCGCCTGGCCATCTTTGCAATATAAACCTTAACATGATTTTCCACCGTTCTCTGCGATCTTCACGTTCTAGCTGGAGAAGTTATAGGTAAGATAGAATTTGGAAACTAATTATGCCAAGGGGACAACCGCGTGGCCCATAGGGACTTATTAACAATTAAATAAAACTACTTTAAAATAAACGAAGCCCAAAATAGTCCTCGGGTCTTGTACCTAAGGCCTTCAGTTAAACACGGCAACTACAAAAATAATTATCAACAGGGTTTTCAAGCATGGGAAATGGACCTTTTTTAGGGTCCTTTAAACTTTAAATGGCTCATAACTCGAAAACTGTGACGAGAAATGTTACTAAGCATCTTTTTTAACACGCTTTTATTAGCTTGCCCTGTATGTAGGTATGTAGGTATGTAATGGAATCTTTGAGAATAATTTTCACCAAATTCCAAATGTTGCCATTAATCCTGAGTTGCGCTTCGACCGTCCACAAGGTCGATCATACAGTCATATATCTAGGCTCGCGACTGGACAAGCTTATGTAGCACTTAGTAGTGTAAGATCTTTAGACGGTATTCGGATTGAAGAACTTGATTACTCTAAGTTAACAGGAACAACCCCATGCCACAGTGGAGCTTTAAATGAAATGATTAGATTACAAAATGATTCGTAAGACATTTCAATATCACATGTGATGGTTCAGAGTGTTCCGACTATGTGAATTTCAACGCGAGTAGTAAGCAGTTTCTCGGATAGCTTGCGCACAACGGCAACATTGGAGGAACTGCGTAGGCAGTTCGCCCTGGACTCTCAACGTCTTGTAAAACCGCTTTCAGACGGGCTACTTTTTGCAGTCCAACTTGACCGCAAAAAGTCGATCGTTTGTATGTCTCTACTTGCAGTTCTCATTTAAAAAGCGATTCCTTTTCATACGGGCGTTTTTTTAGTCCAGTTAAATAGCCGAAACTGAGACAAAAGTGATAACATAGCCACAAAGTTATTTCCGCTGGCGTAATGGTGTAATAAAGGATTGCGAATATTGTTGTGTGAATTTGGTTTTCCGGAAACCAGCCGTTTTTTGTAAAACAGCGAAAAACCCGAAAAACCTCTTTTTCGCTGAAACGGCTGAGGATATCTGGGATTTTTTTACACGAAAATTTTTCTAATTTTTGGGCCATCAATAAAGGTCTCTACAAATTTTTCGCTAAATTGCTTAGTTTTCGCGCTACAGCTTGCTGATGGCTTGTGGGCGAGGGGGTTTGCGGGGAAAGGGACGCGCGTACACCTGTCGCCAGACGCCGCACCATTGAAGCCGAACGATCCTCTTTTATTTCGATGTCCTCAGTGTCTCTCTCTCAGTGATAGGCCAGTCGATTTCGAATAATAATCTCGTTTGTAGTTGTGGCGTTCACCGACTTATGCATATTAATGAATTTTTGAAATTTCTGCGTTTAGAGTACAAGATGCAGTAATTTTTCTTCAGCCGCTTACCGATTGACTGGATAAGTGAGGTATAATATTTTCATTTAGAATTGGAACAACAATAAAAAACCTACAGCTGCAAAAAAGGTGTGAACGTGTATATAAATGAGTGGCAATGATAAGAATACATTACAGGATGTAGAAGCCCAATGAGTCATCAAAAGACTCGCTTTCGAGGCTCCACGTTATTTTCATAGTTATCCTCGCAAATCAGTTTGATCACCGGTAGTTGTTAATCTACGATCATGATAAGAGATTTAGCAGTTTTTGAGCCGCGTCTATACGTTGGTCTGACCTACGCCAACGCAAATATGTAAAGAATAGACAATGGCCGATGGTGATGAGTATTTGACGATATCTTCTCTGCACACGCGCTGTGGAAAAACATTACTCCATTATATTTTAATCGAGATAAGAAATTATGTACAAACCATTAATTGGAAGTTGTATCAATTTTTTATATTTTCTATTTTGATAGAGTATATTATTTTTGTGTTCAAATATGTTTGTTTTACATTTGTTACTTTACATTTCTCACATATAGTTGTACAAAAACCCTCACTTGAGCCAATGAAACCTACAATAGCATGTAAGAGGAATTGAAAGTATATACAGTTCAATGTTATATCCACCCCAATCTGTTACAAGTAGGATAAATCATTGAAGGTCAAAGTCATTAAAGTCCTTCGTTAATTTCCTCGTCATCGGTCGTTGCATCGTGGCTGCTTGATGAGGTCTCATCATCTTCTGTTAAGTCATCATTATCGGGTTCTACGGTAGTTTGTCCACCGTCCTCCTCACATGAATCTGTAGTAGTCGGAGTTTCGCTATTATGGTGTTCTGTAGCAGTCCATCTCTTTGAGTTGTTGCACGATTTTCCGCGGCATACTTTGCAAGCAGGGTTGCACTTTAGACCGGCTTTTCGGCAGTTACATCGCTTCGATTTGCAGGGCCCTTGGCATCCACAGGAAACCTGAAAAAAGGATATCATAAGAATTATTATAATCTAAATATCAGTTGTCTTGTAAGGGAAATCAATGACAGGCCTTTTATAGTGCTCCATAGATCAGTCTAAAAATTTGTTATTTTGACTTGGTAAACTAGATCTCACATTGTTCAAAAATTATTTTAATTCCGGTCAGACAGTACATGAGATCAAAAATGTAGTAAAAATTAGTTGTAGCAAGTTGTATTTATTGCTTCAAATTGAATACATTTCACACATACCTTTTGTAACAGTTCTTTTGGTGCGGGATCTGCTTCAGACATGATCGGAATGAGAATATTACCCTGTCTTGTCCATCCCCACAAGCAGGGATCTAATCTATGCTGAAGCCACACCTGGATTTGATAGTACACTCGTTTACAGTGCTGAAGCAAGGCAGGAGATGTTGGTGGCAGACATTCTAGGGGCGTTTCCTTTTTTGCCTTTGCTAAGTTTGTAGAAAACAAATTGTATCTGAAAGTCCCGAGAGAAGAAGACTGTTCTTTGTCTTTGTATAGTGCGAGAGTAATCGTCTCTGCACATTGCAGCAATTCGTCTTCCAAGCAGTCCGGCTCGTAAAACTTCAGCGCCAGCGCTCTAATGCTGTCGTTCTGCAGCAGCAACTTCACCAGCTTCATCTTCCCTTTCCCAAAAAAGCAGCTAGTAGTGTCGCAGCCCGCAAAGGCATGAGCAAAAAGTAGAAATGGTTGCAAATGTTTGTGATCCCGAGTATCGTACAATTGGTTCGCCTTGCCCCCCTGGCCCATCTTGTAATAGTACATGCTCTCTGAGGTTGGAGTGAGTCCAATAAGTAATATTAAGAGATCAACATCCGAGCCGACGACTATAACTTGTGATTTCCCGTGACGAAACAATTCGTTATGAGTCTTCAGAGCTGTTCTCACAATCTCAACATCCGCATCCTCTTTCGCATGGATCACGGTAAAACTGAATCCCTCATATGTTGCAAGAGTTTGACCAAGGTGATAAACAAATTGAGCCTTGTTTTTCACGTTGGACAAAAATGTCCTTTGGTTCAATGGGACGAGATTGTCTGGTTCAATTTCAACGTCCACGCCACAATTTCTTTCTTGTCTACGGTCTCGCTCGTATGATTTGACACCTATATGTTCATCTTCATATCCGTCGAAAACAATAATGACGCTCCGACCAAACCGCTGAACAAGAAAGTTCTTGTACATATCAAAGATTGCACGGTATGTCTTACTATGAGGCCAGACGAGGCTGTGAAGCAACCATCCTCCGTCTACAACAAACTGAGAATCATCAAAAAATGCTCGTGAGGATAGGGTAGTAGTGAACATTTTATATAACTGTGACTTGTCGGTCTTTCGCATTGATCCTTTCTCGTCGAACAAACTAAGTGGAACAGGAGACATTTCGTAGTCGAAGCAAGATTTACTCAACTCTTTCCTTCCACGCATAGCCACAGACAGACGTTGAAATAATAGAGAGGTATCAACAGTGACAGTGGAAGACATAGCTTTTTGAGATTGTGTCCGTGCAAAGTCCAAATTCTTGATCTTGTACAATTTTGACAGCGACACCTTTTCATAAGTGCGTCCAACTATATGACACATTGCTTGTGTGCCACGCTCGAAAGCCATATGACAATTTATTTCCACACCACCAACAACTCCAGTTGACAGCGAAATTAATTCCTCGCGGACTTTGAATGGTTCATGCCCCTTCAACCAAGTAACGAATGAGGCAATGTCCTTTGCGTCCCATGCTTTTCGTCCTTTGCCCAAATCAACATGCTGCTCACTGTTTCTCGTCTCCAGATTACAATACTCTTCCAATGCTTGCATTACATGCACGGCGCAAGGCATCCCCAGCAAATATCGAGACACGACACTCCGCGTAACACCTCTTCCGTGTGTCAAGTCGGTCCCAAAAAACCTATTCAATGTCTGCTCGATTGTCATGTCACTCCAGATTCCGGACCAAGCCTTATCCGACCTGTGGATAGTGAAATAACCCTGCGTGGCAAACTGGTGAAACTCTTGAGGATCCATGATGTCCTGTAGAAGTACCATATCCTGCAAATAAATCTGAGCTGCTTTTGCATATTGAAAATGTCCCGCGGCATGAAACAATGGCAACATTCTTCGAACGCAATCAAGATGAAGGTCCCAGTTTCCAAGACGTTCTGCTTCAATAAAACGCAAGACAATAAGCACGGCTTCAATGTACTGCACCCACAACTTGGCTGTTGGGCCGTTATTTTTCAATTGCTTCAACTTTGTATAAAACAAATCAGACATTTTCTTCAGGTCCTTATCAGAGTCACTGTCCCCTAGCTTGAGAGGATTTTTCTGCCAGACACGCATCAATGATGCGATAACCCCTTTGATCTCGCCTTTTTCTTCGATTGAATCACAAATTACGATGCCTAAAGCTGTAAACGTCAAAATGTGTGCTCGGACTGCTCTTGAATAATTGTGCCCGTCCATCATTTTCTTTATGGATTCACTAGCGTAAGCAAGCTCCCACATAGATTCAAGTCCGCTTCCTCCCATGATAATACCTATTGCTCCCAAAAAAGACATTAACATGTGGAATCCGCCTAAGCGAACAAAAACGTCGGGCAACATTAACTTCGCTATAATATCGCGACATTTCATGTACAACGGCAAGTCGTAAGTTAAGATAGTGGTTTTTTGACCACATTTACGGGTTTCGCTCTTTGCATGCATGATTGATGTATAAATGGTTGTTAGACTAGATGGAACTTCGTTAATAAATTGTTGGCATTGCACCCCCGACCTTTGGAAACTTTCATTTTCCGAACATATCTCCATGAAACCTCGCCATGCTGGTACATTCTCAGGATCAACGTATTTAGCCCACAAATAAGTTGAGTAAGTAGGGGGGAATAGAGGCATGTCGACCATGGTCAGTAAATTTGTATCGATGAATTCTATAAGTTTCAAGCCCTCTTTTGGCGGCTCGACGTAAGGGAAGATTGGAATTTGTTCTTGCTTTGCAAGGATATTTGCGGAAGGCATCTCAGTAAGTTTTTCGACACTTCCACATTGTGTGATTTCGTGCTCCGGAGTGTAAACCTGTATTCCGCCTAAACAATGGAAAGTCTCCCGTCCGTCCAGGGTCCTGACGTTGTGGTCAGTATTATCAAATACAAATTGTACGAAAGGTTTTTCAATGATCAATCTGGGTGGATTCACTATTGTTGAAGCCTCATACAATTCAATATTGTAGTAAGAAGTGCAAACGCCTAATGCATGCAGAAGATTTATGATGTACTTGGAACCTGTTTTTCTCAGAATCAATGTCCCAATCGAGAAGTGGAGGGTGGACAAAAACGTACGTGGCTGAATGAATGAAAGTATGCATTGAGATATCATATCGCTTCACAGACTTTGCTCTTTTATCTTCCTCTTCGTCAGCGATAAGGAGAAAGTGCTCAATAAAGAACGAAAAGTGGGGTGGATAATCGGAGGAAAGATCGCTTACAAATTGATTGGACGGTGGGTACTTATCGCTTACAAATTGCTTGCTACGAATCTCTCTGTGCATTATATTTGAGGCCTGAAGCAAAATAACTTGTATCTGCCCTTCTGTGAAAGTTGATGGGTCTGCTGACACATTAAAAACATGATGACTTTTGAAGCATACACGTATATCTTTTCCCCCCATTTTACTGCACTCAACTTCCTCACCGTAACGTTTTTTAATGTGATCTGCTACAGTCCTTCTATCTATAGAGTCATCATCCACAAGTTCTACTAACTTCGACAAATAATGAATAACATTTTTGTCTTCTTCAAGAACTTGCCACACAGGTTCTAACAATGAATCGATTCTAGACCAGTTTAGATCATCGATATTTTTTTTTAAACCATACGTATTGAACTGAGACATGCATGTCCGGTGGTATCTGCCTTGTACGCGAATTAAGCAAGAAATGTTCTCTAATCTTTCAACAACGCTAATTCCCAAAGAGTCATTTCTTTCCTTTCCCATTGCAATCAAGTTATCACGCGTCTCTTTTTGTGTGACTGTACAGATTTTTGTTTTCGCATCTTTTATTATACTCAAACCACAAATGAAGCAATTATCCGCGTAATGGAAATCAGGAACCTCATCCCTTGCAGCTACGACATTGTTATTTGGTGCATTCAACGCAAAATGCTGAGTATACGTTCCACTGACCGAGTATGAAAGTCTACACTTCTCATGACAGTCCAGTTTTTCCTTTTTTTCCCAATCCAAACATTTTTTGTCTTCCACGCGTTTGCTCTGTGTGATCAGTGTACTAATTCCCTTCTTCCCCACGATCCTGCAATTGCCGCGCGCCAACGGATAACTGCAAATGGCGCAGTTACTATTTTGCTGCATTTTATTCCTATTGAATAACAGAAACAATTTCAGTGAGAATCGGTATCCAGTAAGTGTAATGCAATTTTCGATCCAGTCAGTCTAATTTGTCTGATTTTTGTTATTAATATCAGAACATAGTGCTAATGGAATTCCAAGACATGCTGAATTTTGGACAACATATACTGAATTTGCACTACTTATTATTAAAAAATACTATACTAACATTGGAAAATGAAAACAAATTTCGTTAAAAAATCCATGGCGGATAACTTTTCGAATTTTAGGTTGGCTTTGTCCTTAATTCCTTGTCTCCAATGAAATTACGGAAAAAAATATTTAATTTCAATTCTAAAATGTACACATATTTACCTCACTTATCCAGTCAATCGACAAGCAATTGAAGAGAAATTACTCCACATACTTAAACGCATAAACTTCGAAAATTAGTTCTTTCGTAAAAGTCGGTGAACGCCAAACTGACAAGCGAGCTCAGGGTTCGAAATTCAACTGTACTATTACTGAATAACCACTACCATATAGTAAGTGATCGTCTGCGTCGTCAACGCGTAGGCGGTGTGGCGGCAGCTTGGTGGTATGCAGGTACGCCGCCTCTGTCCCCGCAAGCCCCCTCGCCCACAAGCCATCAGCAAGCTGTAGCGCGAAAACTAAGCAATTTAGCGAAAAATTTGTAGAGACCTTTATTGATGGCCCAAAAATTAGAAAAATTTACGTGTAAAAAAATCCCAGATATCCTCAGCCGTTTCAGCGAAAAAGAGGTTTTTCGGGTTTTTCGCTGATTTACAAAAAACGGCTGGTTTCCGGAAAACCAAATTCATACAACAATATTCGCAATCCTTTATTACACCATTACGCCAACGGAAATAACTTTGTGGCTATGTTATCACTTTTGTCTCAGTTTCGGCTATTTAACTGGCCTATTTCGGCTGTAGCCCAACTTCTGCCGCTGGTTGTCGCCGGTCCCGTCGACTGACCACACGCCAACTACAACGTTTTTCTTTTTGCACGCACCACTTTCGAACTACATGGCGCGGCGACAAGAGAGCGTAGTTGACAAAATGGAGCCATTCGATACGGACAGTTGTACGGTCATTGACAATAGGATGTACCCAAAACTTACGCGGTTTTCTTCTTTTACGTCTTCGCTTTTGAAGGAGCAACAAAAGTAATAGTAGATGTCTTATGGGGATTCGGTCTCAAAACTTCCAAAATCCGCCACCAGAGGCGCTGGCGTCGCGCGCCATTGACAGGTTGTTGGACGGAATCTGTAATCATGAGTTGGGGATTCCGCCGCTAGATGGCGCTGTCAAACCAAACGGAATCTGTGTGTCATTGGACACCTGTCATGCGTCATTGGGCATCTCACGCATAGATGGCGTTACACGTCATCTGTCATACGTCATTGGACACCTGTCATTGATGGGTTGGGCATCTCGCGCATAGATGGCGCCGATTTGTTTGGCGCTGTACAAACCAAACGGAATCTATGTGTCATTGGACAGCTGCCATTGATGGGTTGGGCATCTCGCGCATAGATGGCGCCGATGTCGCACCTGTCTGGTGTTGGCGTGGATTACGGGGGGCATTCAGAACGTGTATACAGGGGTGCATCGAAAAATAGCGGATCGATGGACCGACGGTATATCGTTAAATCGTATATAGCAAGGCGTGACCTAAATAGCGTGGTGGGCTCCTCTGGTCGGTCGGTCGGTCGGTCGGTCAGAATGTCTCATAACCTGTATACGATGTACTGTTATTATTATACAGGATGATACCGTTCAAAATGAAAATAGTATAGACATTCTGACAATTATTTCGCAAACCAGAGGTATTTTCAATAAAACTACAATAATACGTTTAATATTTTATTGAAAATAGAAAAAACTACATAGGTAATATGATATTTGAAAACCAGTGGCGTAGACGTTCAACATTTCTCTGGGTACAGGAAAATTGTCCGTTGGTGTGGCATGGATTGGAATCAGCAACAAAGTTTCCAGTAGCACACGGTGTACCATCATACTTGCAAACATCAATAATGTTGGGAAAAACACCAAAAATGTGACATTTCTTGAGTAAAAAGTTTGCTTTCTGTTCTCCACGAACGTAGACATAGTCAGTCGCATATATCACCTTATTTTTAATTATTTCATTTAACTTGGAATATTTAACGTCGCCGGAAGAATATTTAAGCCCATGGAAATTCTTCTCCAAGTAAGCGACAGTTTTCTTGTCTTTAGTATTTAATGTAGAAAAAGGTTGCGGAGGTGTAAAGATGTAATGACTTTTCTTGAAACCAATTTCGATACATAGTTCTTTAGGTACGAATAATCCGTCAACTGTAAAGCCTTGAATGTCAACAAACGCGATCCTCATGATGTCTGATGCGGAACTGAGAGTCCTTCGTTGCTTACGAGATGGTTTTAATAACTTCGGTGAGGGGGAAGTACTCGATTAAGCAGTCATGTATAATGATGCAGTAGGCCTTGGTGTTGGTTGGAAAGCCAGTATCGGCTTCGATATCCAATCTAACATCAACAGTTGATGATTTCATGGTTTCCTCTTGTTTGGAACAGTCAATAACAAACAAAGCGCGATTTTTAAAAGCGGTATAATCTAAAAGACATCTCTTCAGAGGAGAAGAAGAAGTTGTATAGCTGGTTTGAAAGTCGCTATAGTTGAAATGAGCTTCAGTAAAGTGATTGTTTGCAAAGTCCAATTGCATACGTTCGTTGGGATAGTATTCACCATTTAAAGATACTCGAATACTAGCAGCATTCACGTGATCAAACAGGGTAGGGTCTGAGGTTGCGACGTCACGTTTACCGGTTTGGAAACATACTATAATGAAACGTGGTCTTTCGATTGCGGTGCTAGTTTTAACTGACCATATTTCTCTTCTCGCATCTGCGGTAATTGCAGGCAGTTCATTCAGATCCCATTTTCTAAACGGTATAAGTATCGGCTTATCAGTTTGAATAGCTTTCAAAAGTTGTTCTTTCACATCATCACTCGGGTAAATATGTTTGATTTTCAGTTCCATGCTTTCAATAGTTATTTTCGCTGTCGTCGCCGTCGTCGTCGTTCCAGTTTTTTCCTTGATAATGATACAATCGTTATCGTTTCTAGCTCTCACAAATCTGAGAGTTTGTCTGCCACACGTAATCATAGGATAATCATTGAAAATGTTGAAAATATGTTTAAGCGGCATTAGCAAGCTAAAAGACTTGTTATGTGTTGACGCCATTATAGGTGTTGAAGGATAGTTCCATCCAGCTATAGCCATATGATTTGAGTCTTCCTCACTGTAACATACGTAAGCTCGGACAGTACTTACAATACCAGGATCACGTACTGTTTCAACTTCTCTAGCGGATTCACTGTAAGTGCAAGAGTCAAATAGGAAGGCACCAAAGTTTGGAGCTAAAGATACATCTCCTGCTCCTCCTCCAGTTATTTCAACTTTCCCTTTGATAGATAGAAGGGAAGCGTTCATTGCAAAGAACGAATCTACTTGATTGATGCTAAATTCCACAACATCATTACAATTAAATGACTTGATGAACGGCGTATAAGATCTATACTCAGCCTTGCGAATAGATTCATCGAATGCTGGAGATCGATATAGATCAAACATCGGAGAAGTATGTGATGCTGCCTCTTCAGTTTTTCTCTTTTTGTACATGATTCTTGTTGTTGTTGACATGATATCCAAGTGAGCGTAGAAACAGGATATTTGATGTAGTTAGTAGTAGATGTCGTCGCTTAGGTGCTTGGGGTAATACTGAAGTTGCCTTGGAAGCACCACTATGTCTTATAATCACTAATCCCATCTGCGCTTCGCTCTCAACTCCAACACAAGAGTACTAGTTTCACCTTGAAAGTTTACAGGACGACCGTCTTGATCTAAAGCCAACACTGTGATGTTGGTTATTTCTTGTTTCGGTATAACAGGTAGATATAGTAAATTTACAGGTATTTCGACTATAGCGTATCCAGGATCGGCTGTCACAGCAAATTCGTAGATCGTGTGTTCAGGCGTGTCTCCGTCAAAGGCTCCCGACGTAATGTTAGCATCAAAGTGTATGGTTGATACTTTTATTATGTTTACAGGTAAATCAGAAGAATGCTTTTGACCAGGATTAAGAACTTTTTTCGAGAATCCCAATAGATGTCCAAGATTATTCGGTTCTGTAAAAACTATTTTATAATACTTGCTAAAGATTTCACATTGCAGTGTATTATTGTTAGGTTTTAGAGAAAAATAATCATCCGGAGGAGCAACTTCATTTTCAAGATTCATTTGCGTTCGTATAAATGTTTCTATGTCGGTAATTTCATAACAACCTGTCGGAAACTCGATGACTTTTAATTGACCACCACCACCTATCCGGTCGATATAATAAAATTTATCTCCTTTTTCAATATTCGGTATGGAATTGTATGAAGTAAAAGACCTAAGCGCCAATTCATAATCTTTTTTCGGATCCAACACTATCGGTGTTGAAGGACGAAATGAAAATATATGAGTAGTGCTATTGACTCTCAACAACTGCGACATGATGAATGAAAAAATATAGCTGTGTACTAAGAATTTATTCAAGTTTTTTTTTTTTGTTTATTTTCGAATGGATAATTTACAGAAATAACAATTTGCTTGAGCAGTAGCCGGTCCATCCCAATGTGTTGTCCAATCAGGTCTGTTGTAGTGAACATAGCATGGAAGTCGTATTTGAAGATCAAAATTGGATGTGTATTCTGCAGGCAGTTTGTACCATATACTCAATAATTCTGCAGGTCTCACATTGCTTATTAAATATTCCAGCGGCGGAATATTCTTCTCAAACTCTTCTAATGTAAATTCCGATAATGTTTTATTATCCATCGTTGTTGTTGTTGTTATTGTTATTGTATAGAAATTTCAAACACAATTGTCCGCAATTAACTTGATTATAAGTTTGGTAAGGATCGTTGTTGTAGAAAATTTTAGCGTTTTTCAGATATCGA